CCAGAGGTAATGGGAACACCTTGAAACACAGGAGCTTCCTTCTGAACATGAGAAAACACATTTTTACTCTGAGGGTGACCAAGTAGTGGCACAGGTTGGGGAAGCTGTAGAGTCTCTATCCTTGGATGTATCAGAAGTTTCTTGGCCTTGGTGCTAGGCAGCTGACTCTGGGTGTCTCTGCTTGAGCAGGGAGTTTGGCCCAGATGACCTCTAGAGGTCCCTTCCAGCAACAACCATTCTGTGATTGCTATGTCAAATAATGGGAAAGAAAAACAGTTAAATTTTGGCCTAATTTAAAAATTCAGCATTACATCATGCAAATATAGATTACATGGAGCTTTCTTAATTTAACTAACTCTTTCTTTACTCCATCATTACATTTGATTCTGGCAGAATGAGTTCCTAGAGATCTTAGTCTGTTCCTTTCAGGTCTATCTGAAAAGTCAGTTTACTTGGTCTTAAAATTTGTCTTGCTTGGTTTACAATGTCACTATTAGTTTTTATTCTGCTGACTTGAACTCATTTCTTATTTATTAGGGCTCAAGCTGTCAAATGCAGTAAATGAGTTTTCTTTGTCTGCCCAACCTGCCTTAATTGTGCACCCAAAGAAAACGACCCTGAGTTTGTTTTAGTTAAGATGCAATGAAGTGTTCTGTATATTTCAGGTGCTCTTGGGAATTCAAAGGTGACGCAGCAGCTGTGGACAAACAGCATTGTGTTTAAAGCATATAATCCCCATAGTTTTTGAAGTTAATACTGTAACACGTTTAAAAGAGCTTGTATTCCTTTTGCCAGCCTGTGTACTTTTTTTATGTGTACTTACATTGTTTTTAGATGTGGCTGAATGTATCACTTTGCTGTACCAATTTACAGCTTAAATAAACTTTAATTCAATGTATGAATGAGAGTGTTTTCTGGCAGAGTCAGCTTAGATATTGGCTTTTCCAACAGCTACAGTTCATTGTCTTAAATTGAAGAGGGCAATGTGCGTAACACTTATGCTTTTTCATAAAATGCTGTTGATTTTGTTTAATAATGCATATTCATTTTTGTACAACTCTTCAAGTGATCTGCTTTCTAATTATCAGAGATTTTGTGTAATTTAATAAAATTATAATTTCTTCTTACCCAGTTTTAGGTAGAGGTGGTATTTTAAGAGAGGCTTTTTGTGTACATTATCACAGCCTTACTAATTTTGAATGGAGCTTCTTGCTGACTGAACCTGTCCCCTTCTTGGAAGTGCTTTGTTGGCTCTGTACTGCCAGCAGCTAGAGATACTGACATGGGTCTCTCACCTTTCCCAGGGGTACCAAGCCTGTGGATGTTTAAGTCTTTCTTCCCACATGAGGAGGGTGTGTTCACATCATCATTTTTTCCCTGATGTTTGACCATCTCACATGGTAGAGAAATGGCTTTTGAAGCTGGGACAGTGAAGGAGACCTGAATCTGAAGTGAAAATGATGGTGAAGAAGATCTGTGTATGGGTCCTACCTGTCCAGTAATACATATATTTTGGTTTTACTGCAGCATAACTGACAAGCTTGTGGCAAACTGGGAAACTTGGCACTGTTTCAGCAGTAGAAACTGGCTCTGCAGAATCTGTGGCATTTCTTCCTGCCCACTAGTTGCTGTAGTCCAAGCTGTGTAGTTGCCAGAGGCAACCCTGGCATTAATGTTGTGGTGACTGCACTGCAAGATAGCTGAAATAGAAACTGAACACAAAGTTTTTGGATATGTCTGGTGTTTCTGAGTGTGATTAGGCAGGTGTCTGTCTTTTTCTAAGGCACTCGTAAGTCAAAGTGACAGGAAAACTTGTGGCATGAATTGTCACTGTTCCATTCAAAACCAATTGGAACAAACCAGTACTCTCACAACCTTCATTCCAGGAAGATGCTGTAATTGGTGTCTTAAATTTACACTGCTAAGAGAGTTGTTGAACTCACTGTACCCTCTGAAGTAACTCTGGACTTCCAGAGGGCATTAGATTGAGATTACAGGTTTATTAAGCAGTGACCTCTTGTCATTAGACATCATGTTACATAGGTATATAGCCTGAGGATTTTATTAGTTTATTTACCAGAGGGTCTGTGTGTACAGTTAGACATAAGCCTGTCTGAGATTTAAGTGCTTAAATAAAAATCTGCTTGGACCTCAGTGTCATGCAAGCAGCAGGTGAGATGCTATTTTTGAGATTATAATGCTGCCCTGGTGTAGCTGAATATTTACTGAGATGAAGTGTGTGTGTGCATTTGTACATTTTGATGCATGAGCAGAATGTTTGTATCCATCTTTGCCAGTTCTTTTCCTTGTTTACTTGCAGTCTGTGTAGTAGAGTCCAAACATTTCTCCTTCCTGGTTCTTCTGCCCGTGCCCCACATTTTTCCTCAAGAATGATCATAGTTTAGGCTTTTGCACTTAGGCTGTTACTGCCAGCTTGTACTTCATTTCCCCAGTCCTCCAAAGGTAGTGGTGCTTATGTTTGTGTAATAGTGAACTCTAGAATCTTCTTCAGTTTCTTTTTTGAAGGGTATGTCATGCTAACCTAGATCATATGGCTCCAAAAGGTACTAAAATTTTTTTTCTGATTTTTTTTTTCCTTCTGTCTGTTCCTGTTGGTTTGCCACTAAATTACCAAACAGCTGGGTTCTGCAGGAACAGTGAAATTCAGTCATCTTTTCCTTTTGTGCACCAATTTTTACCACCTCTTTATTAAATCTAATGGTTGCAAGTCTCGAGAGGCTTTATACAGCTATTTTCTTTAAAGCTTTTAGAAAGCAGGTGAAAGGTAAAGCTGTCATAAGCATCCTCTAGACCTTGAAAAATATTTCAGTCACCTTTGAAAGAAATATCTGATTCTAAAAATGTCCTAGAGCTAAAAGGTTTTTTTTTATGTGAAGTATCCAGGAAATGCAAAGGACGTCACTGCATTCACGTACCTGGGAAAGAAAAGAAGATTTCTTTTAATTATCTGAGGTGTTGAAACTGACAGTAAATATCAGAGTAATTTGTAGAATATTTTGAATCCTATCTCATTATTGCACACTTTAAAGAGGCCGTCTTGAGGAGACCTTTCATGTCTCAAAAGAAACAGAACATCTTTTATTTTAGTTTAAGAACCAGTTTATCATCAGTTTATAAATTCACTGTTGCTTTGAAACAAGCTGCTTTTGAATAGTATTGCTCCTTTTCTCGATGACTGTGCTTTTCAAAATGAGCCTCTGAACTGTGTCTTTTTTTCCTTTGTGCAGAATGTCCTTAGTAAAATTAGTTGAGAAGATTGAGAAGCAGAGCTTCTCAGGTTGCCTAGAGTTGCAGTTAAAAAAAAAAGTAACACACAAGTTTGAAAGCCAGATTCAAGGTGCTATTTGTCTCTGGGCACTGCAAAAGCAGTGGTTATTAGATGACTAATAGCTTAGGTGGTTGTTAGTAAAAATACCAGAATAACTTCCTCAAAAATGTGTGTGTAGCATGAAAAAAATACATGTTTGGTGTGTTATGAGTGTATTACCCGTCTTAGAGTGAGAAGAGTATTCATCTGCCTAGTTTTAGTTCAGTTTGTGGTATGGGTGATGGGAATTATTTCTGGATCTCCCTCTATAGGATCCTGCAAGAACCATCAAAAGATGAGTGGCAGGAAAACTTTCAAGTAATTTTGTGAATCTTGGGGCCTGTGTAAAATTAACCTGGATTGAGACGATGACTTATTTCATCCACCATATAAAGTCAGATCAGGAGTGAAGTTTCAGACAAGTAATACCAGTTCCTATTTGTCCAAAGAACCTCACTGACTATAAACCTAGCTCACAAATATCTTCATCTATATCTCAGTATTCCTAGTTCTCAGTGATTCTCTTTTTAGTGTTTATGTATTTGTATCTTGGTGTTTTGTGTTAGGACTGTTTAACACTCTTAAAATCAAGTACTTGGAATGCGTTGTAGAAATAAAGGCATCAGTCAAATAGTGAGCCCTCTAGTGTTATATTTTTCATCCAATTTAATCTGTTGTTTGTCTTCATTGTAATTTTTTAATGGGAAAGTTGTTGCATTTTCAATACTCATACAAATTATTTTGTAGTAATTTAATGTGTAGTTTTAAAGAACTATGAAGAAGGTTCTTAATAGTTAATCTACATGTGGAATATTCTGGAATAAATTTCATGCTCATATGAAATACCATTTTTGTAGAGCCTTTGCAGTCTTGCTTTCAGATGACACAAACATAAGGGAAATTTAACACTGCTCAGAATGCTGTGAATATTATTTTTCGTGCTGTTACTGTGTGGCATTGCATCCTGAAGGTGATCTCTGCTGGAAGATATGCTTTTGCAGCTTGATATTGAAATTACACCTCTTGTCCAGACTTGGAAGGAATTCCTATCCTGAAGGTTTAGTATAAATACAGTTTAGAGAGTACACTGCATTGAATACATAAATATAGCAACTACAATAGCAACTATTGCTTTTCTGGGGATCAGTTAGAGTACTGCATAAACAGAGTATCATCTCTCTTGATTGAGTTTGAAAGAGGAGATTGATGCCTTGTTTTGTTAAGTCTATAGCAGCTCAGAAGCCAACGGAAGTTGAAATTTCAAGAGCAGTGACTATATTTTAGTCACAGTGTTTTCTTCCTGTAAAGAGATGAAAGAATTCCACAGAATGTGTTGCTTCTATTCCTGAAGAACAATTCAGCAAAATTTACCTTTGTGTGTGACCAGTACCTTCTAGTATATTTCAATATATATTATTAATATTTCAAATATTAAGAATGATTTGGTAAGAATAGCATATACATATATGAACCACTTGTGTCAGCAGCTTGAGTCTGTTGTAATATATGAGTTCTTGATTGCTGTAATGTATATTGTTATAACTAAGGTGATAGAGCACTCTGCATATAACACAGTGTGTGTGCCTAACAGGTGTATGATTTAACCTGCTTTTAGCAGTTTGTTTGCAACAACATACATTTTCAGAGTTACTTGTACTGTATAAACAGATTTCTTCTCCAGAAATACATGTATATCTTAAAAAGACAAACTTTTTTTTCAGGTCCCTTTACAGATGTAGTAACTACAAATCTTAAACTACGAAATCCATCAGATAGAAAAGTATGCTTCAAAGTGAAGACCACAGCACCTCGTCGATACTGCGTGAGGCCAAACAGTGGAATTATTGACCCAGGATCATCTGTAATTGTTTCAGGTAAAAACAAATATACACAGTTGTAGGTTAAGTGTTTTTAAGGCATTTGATGCAGTTCTCTAATGCTTGATCTTAGAGACTGTTTGAAGTATGTCAGCTTTTTAAAACTTCTTTTAAATAAAAAGGATTCCCCTCATTAGTGTGATGACAACTTGATGTAGAGCTGCAGTGATACATGAAGAAATCCTCCCTGTAGAAATACTTGCCTTTGTCACATTTATCTGTGGTGCTCTGAAAGGAGGAAAAGCAAGTTGAAAATGGGCAGTGACATTAACAGTACCTTTGCCTTAGACTATTATATTCATGTTCATATTCTCAAGTAGAGCATTTCTTGGCTGCTCTGATATGCTTAAAATAACATTTCATAGTTCATTGCATTTAAGAAAAAATTAGTTTACAGTTGTATCTAGTTGTTTTTCTCAAGAAAATGGGAATTTTCTAATCTAATATGATCTGTAGATCATATAGGACCCTTTAGAACATCATTATTCTTACCATGGGCAGTTCAGCATCTGGACTCATGTGGATTTATTCACTGACTTGGGGATGAAAGATCATTTTACTGAGAATTGATCTAAGGTTTAAGTAGTCAAATACTTCTTTATTTCCATCTTCAACTACAACTTACAGCCATTTTGCCTTAGCTGTGTGTTTGAGCTGGTATCTGGGATTTTTCTAGTGGGTAGTTTGATATCACAATCAAGACCATGCTGGAATTTCTCTTTAGGGAATTGAATAGATCGAGGGATTACATTCTGTGTGTTTTCATCATTACAAATCATCCTTTTAAATATTTTTGTTTTTTTAAATAAGCTAGTACTGGAACTGTAAACAATATTGTGGCTTCAGATCTCCAATAAAGAGAAACAGTGTTACACTGCTCAAGTCTTCAGTTGGCATAGCAGGAAGTCTTTGATGTGCCTAACACTGACCTCAAGATGTTTTCAAGTGCAGTTGTTTAGTTATAGTGATTCTGCTGTGCTTTTCAGAGCTAAGTTCTTTTCCCCAGAGTGTCAGCTTCATCTTTTTGTTTTTAGGCATTTAATTTCTTTCGGGTCATTTGCTAAGATAAGTGTGCAGATTATTTTTCTAGTGACCCACTTTATCTCATCAGTCTCTCATCTGAATATTTTCAGTGCTGAGTCATCTTTCATGTAATTAAAAATAGATTTCTCTCACATTGTTGTGCAGAGAGAAATAGCTATAGGATACTGTGGGCTGGAGCTCTTATGTTCAAAACTGAATGTTGAGGTAGTGTTAGCTGTCTTCAGCCTGTTTAAAGCATTAGGCTGATTCAGAGCCAAGCCAGTTTTTAAATTAATTTTTGGAGATGTGATTTGACAGTCATTTTAAGGAAGTCCACTAACATTTTTTAATCATTTATTACTTTTCAATTGTGAATCGCTAAGTAACCTTCTTCAGCCATGTTTTTTCATATTTTTCCAAAAATACAAATTCCATAAGAACTGTTTTTGTTTACCTTGGTACCCTAAATTTACTATTTATTATCCTGTCATGTATTGTTTGTTAACTTGTTAGCAGCAATTGCTTTTTGTTGGTTTTTTTTTCGTAATATAGCATGTTACTCTTGTTCCTTCACAGCTTGCTACTGTTACTTATTAATGTTTTTCCTTCTGCTTTTGCATTTTTCTAGCTATATCAGTATCTCTGCTGTAGCTTTTTCATTACTATAAAATAGGTACATATACAGATAACTGTTGTAGGGCTCCATGTAATTTTTCTTATATTTTTTGGAACTGCTTTTGCTTCTCTTAATTTTGTATAAAGATATACTGAACTGGGATTCCCATTCTGTGGAAGACAGGTGTAGGTACACTGCCAAATAATTTCTCTCTCCAGTTCACCGAGTCCTCATCCTCTGGTAGATCAAGTTGCAATATACACATATTTAGATGTAATTTTTTTGTTCTCTTTTACAGGATCTGTTTGTTCATATTTGTTTATGAAACGTCTTTTCCTATAGTAATTACAGGAATAATCAACCATACCAGACTCTGACCTCTCAGTCCCTTTTTCTACAGTGTATGCACTGCCTTTGCATTTTAACTTTCAGTGTCTATTTAATGAGGAATAAATCTAAAGTAGATAGCATGCTTGCTCTAGTGATTAGCTGAATAATCAGTTTTATTTTTTCTTTGGAACAGTAATGCTGCAGCCTTTTGACTATGACCCAAATGAGAAGAGTAAACACAAGTTTATGGTACAAACAACCTATGCACCACCAAATATTACAGATATGGAGGCAGTGGTAAGTAAAAATGGACTAAAATGGTTGTTGTAACTTTTTTTCTTAAAAAAATCTGGCTTAATTATAAATGATTCATGTTTTTACAATTTCTTTTTGAAGAAGAATTGGGTTTTCTCTGAACAAGTGTGACTTCAAATTTTAATATGAAATACAAGGTCAGTTCTTAGTATTTTCCTGTAGTGATTAACCTAGAGGTTATTGAACCTCTAGGAAATAGTAGTGGCTCTAAGGTAAGGTCAGTTCAGTGTTAAAATATGGGCATATTATACCTTTATATGCAGCTAATTTGAAAGGGATAAATAGATTGAATTTGAAGTAATGAAGAGTACATTCAAACAGCAAGCCTGAAGCTGTATGAAAATGGTTCATTTGGTATGAAAAGTGTTTAAGTGAAATGTTGAATGGGATGATAATGAATTAAAACCTTTTCAAGACTAAGATGTGTCTCCCTACAAGATACCAAATGGCTAAACGCAGCACAAATGATAGAGTTATTTTCTGTTTTAATGGAACATGTTGTAGCTTTACTTCTTAGGCTGGGCTGGTCTGATGGAAGATCCAGAAGGAAGATATGTAGGTTTGTGCTTGTTAGTTCAGAAGTAAGGTGCCCGTTTCTAATTTTATTGGCTGTCAGCAATGAGAATGAATCCCTCAGTTGTCAGAACATGCCTTTTAGGGTGTATGTGGACTCACATAAGTATGTCCTAAGGTGGAGGCCAACGTTGCACATGTGTCTTAATTCTAAAAACTATTTTAAGGAATGCTTGAGTTCACACAGGTGCATTTGATGTTCACTCAAGGCAGAGAAGGAGAGGGGAAACAAAGGATAAATATGAGATTGTATAAATTGCTGGAATCCAAGAGACCTTTTCAGGTTTGGGCTCTGTCCCCTTATATAAAGGCAAAGACTGCTGTGGCTCTTCACTGGAAGCAGTGGAAAACTTAGATTTTGTGAAGCTTTGGAGACATGAAAGTTAACATCTGTCTACCTTTTTGAACTGGTTTGTTCTTCTTCATATGCTTTAGTAGCTCTTGGTTATGTGTGGTAAATGAAGCATGCCTATTTGGTGAGGTTGTAAAAACTGACTTCAGAAATACTTCAAATAACTGCTTTCTTAGTGAGTTCAGGTATACAATACTGAGAAACAGATCTTTCAGGAAATCACTAATTGTAGGTAAAAGCTGCTGTATAACTAATGCCACTGGAAAAAAAATAGGAAGGATGTTGTGAAAAACCTGAATATTTGCGTCTGTAACACCTATAAGGTAACAGTAGAGGACCTGTTAGAAAAATTGCTGCAGACTTCAGAGCAGTCTCTGAGCCTAAGAATTTAAGGCAACTACATGAAGTGCATGCTTTGAAAGTTAATTGTCAGTTGAGTAGAGAGATTCCAGTATAGTTTAGCTATTTAAATATACTGGGGACCATTAGAATTCAAATGTTTTTGAAAAACGGCTTTGAAAAATTCTCGAGGTCCAAATTGTCACATGTTATGCAGTAAAAGGAGAAAGTGGTTAAAAGTCTAAAACTTGAAGAACTAAAGAAATTTACTCTAGAACACATGTAGAGTCACTGAAATATGTCTTTCCATCTTGTATTTAAAATCAGTGCTTCCAAGATAGGATACAAGAAGTACATTTACTGAGGCATAATAGTGCTAGAACTTCTCAAACTAAATCAGATGCTACTTGTTTCTCATTGTGTATTAAGAAACCACTGTATTGTCCCCTCCCTATTTCATACAAACCTCTGATGCATCCATCAGCATTCAGTTTACTCCTTTTTATTTCCAGACTTGAATTCACAGCAGTGAGTGTGAACAAAAAGCATTGTTCATAAGCAAGTCTGAAAATTGCGGGGAGGGTAAGCAAGGTATTCAGTTGTATAGGAAGCCAGTGCTAAGAGCAAACTTATGAACTGTTGAGATGTTTGCATGAGTCCAGGATGTTAAGTAATTGTATTAATTGTTTTCATAGTGGAAAGAAGCGAAACCTGATGAGTTAATGGACTCCAAATTGAGATGTGTGTTTGAAATGCCCAATGAAAACGATAAACTGGTAAGTAAGGAATAAGAAACTGTCATACACTGACTGGTAGGATCTCACAAAATTTCAGGGTTTTTTTTTAATCTATTTGATTTAATGATGAAATTAATTGATAGAATTTGTACTAAATTAGACAGGAGGGGTGTTCAGTATATAACTTTTTAAGGATTCGTAGAATCACGGAACAGCCCATCTTGAAATACCATCTTGTCTAAAAGGGAACACTGTCCAACCTCATCTTAAAAATCTCCAGCAATGGAGAACAGTGCCAAAACACTATATTTTTGTTATTTTTATACTTTACAGTTTTCAGATGCAACCTCAGTTTTATATTGGGGGAAAGAGATGTAGAGATTGTTTTTGTGGTCTGCATTTTTTTGGTTGGTTTGTTGTTTTTTATTTTTTTTTTCTTTTTGATAAAGGATAATTTATGAGATGAAGGTGTAAGCTTCCTAAGTGTGTGTTAAACAGAACATAAAGGTTGAACATTTATTATCGAGGCACTTATTTATCTACATTCTGGCTTTAATTTTATAAAGTGTGTAATGTAGTGAGAGAAGTGGAATGGGTTATATAAAACTACCTCCTTTTGTACTTTCTCCTAAGAAACTGTCCCTAGTGACAGAGGAGTTTACTCTTTAATTAAAAAATCAGCTCTTTATGGCCATTCTTAAGGGTCTTTAGGCCCTTTTAGGGCCAACTCTTTAAGTCCATTTTTCTTAGGATGCAAGAGCTCCCCATCCTGATGTGTAAGAAATCAAGGAAGGCAGGCTGGAAAATGGCATGAGCAAAGGTCAGCTTCTTGCATTGAGGAGTAAGAAGGCAACATACAGCCAGTGGAAGCTGGGGCATGTGACTTGAGAAGTACAGGGATACAGTTTGGGGGTATGTAGGGGTGAGATCAGGAAAACTAAGGCAAAGGTGAAATGTGATGCGGCAAGGGATATGAAGAGTAACAAGAAGGAACTCTGTAAGTACGGAGTATGTTAGAAGAGAAAGGACAAGGAGAGTGAACAGCCCTGAGAAACAAGAAGGGAGAACTGGTGACAACAAATATGGAGAATGCTGAGGTACTCACTGAGTTCTTTGCCTCAGTCTTCACTGGCAGTCAGGCTTGCCATGTCTTGGGGGTTCTTGTGGTTGAAAAGCTGGATTTGAATCTACAGTGTGTGCACACAGCCAGAAAGCCAATTGCATCTGGGACTTCATCACAAGAAATGTGGCCAGCAGGTCAAGGATTCCCCCTCCCTCTACCCTTGTGAGACCCCATCTGAAGTCCTGAGTCCAGCTCTGGGTTCCCTAGCATTAAGAAGCATGTGGACCTGTTGGGGCAAGTCCAGGGGAGAGCCATGAAGATGCTCAGAGGGCTGGAGCACCTCTCCTATGAACAGAGGCAGAGAGAACTGGGGTTATTCAGTCTGGAGAAGAGAAGGCTCCATGCACACCTCATTGCAGCAACTTTCAACACAGGCATATACTGATAGGAAATAAAATAAAAGAGGAAATAAATAAAAGAGGAAATAAATAAATGAGGAAAGATTTGGGTTAGATGTTTGGAGGAAATTCTATACTCAGGAAGTAGTGAGACACTGTTACAGGTTGCCCAGAGAAGTTATGGATGCCTCATCCCTGAAGATGTTCAAGGCTGTGTTGGATCAGGCTTTGAGCAATCTGCTCTGGTGAAAATTGTCACTGCCCATTGCGGGGGATGGGTTGGAACTAGATCTTCTTTGAGGTTCCTTCCAACCCAAACTATTCTATGATCTTGTGATTTTGAGCAGAGCTGTGAGAATTAGATTGTTAATTTTAATATTGTTCTTTCCACAGCTTTTTGTGACTTTTCAGAATTAGTAATGGATGTTTCAGATGCTGTGAAACTTAAATTTCATGTTTGTGCAGCGCTTTATTTTCCTTCACTAAAATGTATTATAAGTACAAAACATTTCTGTCACAATACTTCATAGGAGTTTGTGACATAACTTGTTCTAATTTGCTTTGCTTCTTACTAATGCAGGATTACTTTCTTGCTTGTATTGTTTTCCCAAAGTTCAAATGCTCTTTGGTGTATTTTATGTCCTCTTTTGGATGCCTCCTGGGTCAGTATTAAGTAGCTAAAGTATTAATTTGTGTCTCAATAGAGTGTAGTACCAGGTAAACAGTGCAATCTTCTCTTGCTTTTTTAATACTTGAGCTAATCAGAATTGAATTGTCAGTGTGTCTGTTCAGCTTACTGTAAAGATAAACCTCACTGAACTATATTAATAGTTTAATTGTTTCACTTTTAAGCTGTGGATGATTTTTCTCTAGCTAAGTAAATTCTCAAATCATTTTTGATGTTTGTAGAATGATATAGATGCAAGCAAAACCACCCCAGTACTGAACACATCTAAGCAGGACGGACCGATGCCAAAACCACATAGTGTTTCACTTAATGATACTGAAACAAGGAAGCTCGTGGAGGAGTGCAAAAGACTTCAGGCAGAGATTATGAAGCTGACAGATGAAAATCGGCACCTGAGAGTAAGTTCTGCATCCACATTTATACTGAAATGGCTTCACTCTTCTTGATTGAAAAGTCTAGTTTGTAATCAGGCCAAAAGATGTATATTCTAGAAAGTAGATAAAGCTGTTAGAATGTCAAGATTGATTCATAATATGACTTCAAATGTATATAATGTGTATTTTGACCTTCTCAGTGATTGAGACTTTGTGACTGTCATGGCTGAGACATGGAAGCTGCATAATTTTCTTCTTAAATTAAGTGGTCCTATTTAAGTTGATCTTAGTTACTTCAAGTCTAAGTTGAAGCTACTGAATTAGTAGCTTTTTAAAAGTGCTTCATTTTTCATTAATATGAGTGAGATCCAGAGCAGTAACATTTTGTATTACAAACAGCTAGAGAACAAGAGCAATTATTTGCCCAGAGAAGGTAAGCAAACACTATGTTCTTGTACCTTTATGTAAAGGTGTAATTTCACCTGTAACTAGTAAATACATGATTTTATGTGTCTTTTCTATATATTTGCTTTTGGAAAAGTTCTGACAATTTCATTGGCCATTTAAACAACTATGAAATAATATGATATCTCCATACCTGTTATTCTGATGACACTGACACTAAACAAAGCAGATGTTTCTTCTTAACAATAAGGAATTACTGCTATTTATTTTTGACACATATTAAGTATGAGCAGAATGCTTCATTGGGCCTAGCAAGATTTTTGGTATATTTTTTAGGAGAGACTAGTGAAGAGAGACTAGTGAATTACAGTCCTTATTTAAAATGCGGTTTTCTATGTTCGTGTTTTGGATTTTGGTGTGATGTAATGTTGTATGTGTTGATGGTTTTTTCAAACTTTATTTAAATATTCACCAGTAAATATGGCCTTTTTAGTTTAGTTTTTACTATCCTAGTAATGTATTTATGGTTTTTTTTTCCATCTGTGTTTTCTCATCCCCTCAGGATGAAGGCTTGAGGCTCAGAAAGGTAGCGCACTCGGATAAATCTGGATCACCCACAGCTTTGGCCCTCAGAGATAATGGCTCTAATTCTCTTCCTTCGCTTCTTGTTGTAATTGCAGCCATTTTCATTGGATTCTTTCTAGGGAAGTTCATCTTGTAGAAAGAATGAGTGAGAGAAGCATGCAAAACTGCAGCTTCCTTTTTTTTTTTTTTTTTTTTTTTGTTCTGTTTTGTTTTCTCTTGGCCAGAAAAAGGTTTGTTTACCTACCACATCATGGGTAGTATGGCCCGAGCAGCCGTTCTTGTGTACAGCATCATAACAGGCTTTGCCTTTAATGATCTCGCACGGTTAGAAAACACAATCTGAAAAGACAAACTGTTCAGCTGCTGGACAAAATTGTACATTCAGTCATCAATAGCAGGTATCAGTTGCACAGTCAGTCCTTTATGAAAATTCATAAATAAAGAATTGTTCTTTCTTTCTGTGGTTTTAATAATTCGAAAATTGTTCAGAGTCTTGTAAATGTTATTTTAATAATACTTTAAAATTTTATCTGTTGCTGTTACCTCTTGAAAAATGATTTATTAGATTGCTAATCCCACTCATTCAGGAATATGACAAGAGGTATTCTGGGGGAAATGGTGCCTCTTACTGTGTAAATTTTCTCCTTACCTTACTTTGCTAATATCATGGCAGAATTTCTTTCTTATTCCTTGTGAGGCATTGTTGAGAGTTCTTCATCCTTAACAGTCCTGTCCCATAATATTTAACATGACAAAAGAAATAAAATTGTTAACAGATTTTTCTGCTGGGTAGCCTGTTTGTGTGTGTCGTGCTTTTAGAGGGGATTCTTAACAAGTTCATTGTTCATGGTAATTTGCTACTTGTAACAAATGGCTATTTTGAAGTTTATTTGCTTAAGTCTCTGGCTTTGACTGTTGTAATTGAGACTTGGGAAAAAAAAAAAAAAAGAAAAAAAAGAAAGGGTTCCATTCCATTTGTTTTAAAAAATGAGCTGTTTTCTGGCTGCTTTCAGCTACAAAGAGGATGGTTATCAACCTTGTTTTTTGGGACAGAATAATATAGATATCCAGCAGGTGCAAATGCCAGACATGAATGTTTTCAATATATTAACAATTTGCTTGGATTGTGCAGGAGTGTAATAATCAACCTTCTGTTCCATCTTTGAATCTTCTGGGTGTCTTCCAGGAGTCAATATTATTCTTTGATTTCTTAAGGGTACTTAATTCACATATATTAACTTACTCAGTTTATAATTCTGTTTTAGCAGATATTAAAAAATGCAAGTTGAATTATTTGGACACCCGTAATGAATTCCGTGATGCAGAAGAGTTGATATTTGCTGAGTTGCTCACCTTTTGCTCAGTTGCTCATCTTTGGGAAATAAAAAAAATTATTTTATGCAGCTCTTGGCAGATCTACCTGTTTTAACCATGTATAGCTAAGTTTTAAAAAATGCATTTTTGGGGTCTGAAATGCTTCCCTGCACTTAATCTTATGTCTTGCCTCATCTCTGAATATGTCATAAAAACAAACAGTAGTATTGAAACGAAATATTATCTGTACTTCTGAGTAAGTGTAATCCAATACAGGGAATTACTTGTAAAATTGAAAAAATGTGGAAGAGGTATACTCCTGTAAGCAAAATTGTGTATGCTCTTGGACAGCTTGACTTGATGTGGTGCAGCTAAGTGTGTTAGACCTTGGTATATGCACACCTTATGTAGCTGAGGAAAATGTTCTGGGAAAGATGTACTTTTTTTGGTTGCCTTTGATTTCTAGTGCTCTTTTTAAAAAAACAAAAAAATGACATCACATTCTGTCATAGCTCTCTGTGATAAACTTTTTTTATGAAATCTTGCACATATACAAGGAAGATGATGGAGAAAATGCAAATACTGCTTATCCTTTCACTTAAGCATGCAAGCACTGATGTTTTCAATTGTTCCAGTGTCTGCATTCAAGTCTCCTTCCATCCCAGTGACTGGAAAAAACTGTGTTAAGGTTTTGATTTTTTTGGTTCCACTGGTTCAGAATGGTGTATTTCTTCTGATTTTTTTTCTCTAACAGAACAGTTCCACATCAGACTTTCATAGCCTGTTCCAAACTGATTACGTGGAAAATAACGAAAGCAATATTGTGCAGGATGTAGTTTGCTTCAGACAGAGCAGTCATTCCTGCATTGAAGGGAGAAAAACCAGACAAAACCCTCTGGAACATCTTAAAATGTTTACAGCATGGTGTATGGAGGTTTTCAAAGGTGCTAGCACTTAGAGGACTTTAAACTAGAAGAACTAGTCATTGCTCAATGCAGCTGACTCAGGTTTTGATATCTGGCAGCAGAAATATGGTAAAAGTAATGATAAAATCAGAATGAAGTAATTTTTCTTCATAAATAAGAAAACAAATGATGGTGAAACTTTGGTCATGATTTAAGTGATGTTTTCAAGGTGAAAGTGTACAGCGCTCTTGTAACCAGAATTCTCAGTAATATGCTCTAAGGAGACTGTCTTGGTTTCCCGTAATCCCTTCATAGCTGTATATAAAATGTAATGCTAAAACTATTTTGCTCTCAGGAGTCACTTTGGATGAGATCAACTGTATTCAATGAATTATGTAACATGGATTAAATTGTTTGTCTTTGTTCCTGAAATGGTTAGAACTTCTTGCTTTGTCTGCCTGCTTACTCATATATGTAAGCACAGGGAAATGCAGTCTCTCCACCTGCTGCTGGTGAGATGAGCAGACGGTGACGTCCATAAAGTCCCGTGAGGCTAAATGCGCAACTTCAGTCAAATATATGTTGCAGGTTGCTCTTCTGATTTCTCAAAAGGGCAAGATGATATAAGTATACAGTATCAAAGTAGTTATTTAATTTTTTTATGAATATAGCACTTTAAAAAAGAGTAGTATGGTTCAGGGGGAAAAAAATAAACCTAGTTACCTAGAAGATAGAGCTTCTGTAGTAATTCTGGGCACCAAATTTAACCCACTTAAAAATATATATATATATATATGCATATAAAGTTCATTTAAGAAAAGGTTATTTTTATCAATGCACAAGTCATTTGTGCATTTCTACTAATTCTCTAAAAGCTGTTGACAAACACTGTTGCCCAGGCTTGCATGTTTCTGCTGCTATGTTTGAAGCCAACTTACTTAAAAGAAGCAACCAAACATTAGCTTGGAACTTCATTATCCTCCTGGGAGGAGGGAGGGTGGAGGGAGGAATTGAAAGGTGACATTTTGCCAAAGGGGAAAAGACAAAGTCAATAAGCAAAACTTATCTTTCAGGCCTTCTTCAAAGTTATTAAAGGTTGAAGTGTTAATAAACTATTAAAAATCTAGTGGTGTCCTTTTTATTTTGGAACTTCTCCCTGACTCCATTCTGTGGACTGCTGCTAGTGAAGAGGTGTGTCTGGTCCCATGGGTGCTGTTACTGCTCTGCTCTAGGTTCTGCTGGTAAATGAATGACAAGAGGCTGCCTTGGATGAAGAATCAGTATTGGAGTGAAGAACAGGTGCCTCGACCCAGGCAGCACTGAGGATGAATATGGGTCTGTTGGATTTGTAAGAATCATCTTGACAAATAGTTTTCTTTTTCCTTTTGGGAGTCCCCAGGTTTTTATGTGTGAATTGACTTGCTGGAGCAAACACTTGGTTCAGTCTGTAGCAAAAGATGGAACGAGAGCTACGCAGTTACAGAGCAACCCTAATAAATATTTGCTATAATACTTAAATGCCTTGCTTTCCAAGTTCGCAGGTGTGATTGCAGTTCTGTAGCTTGTTTTTAGGTGCATTGCTGTGAAGGTAATAGTTCACTGCCTTGCCTGCTAGTCTGGTTCCTGTAGAATGGCTTTGTGGTGGGTGTCTTGGAAGGCCTATCTGTGTATACACTTGTCACTGCTGCTAGTGAGCCTCTGTCTTTCCTGATCCTGAGCTTCTGTGGTAGCTTTAGAATGGTGGCACATTGGAGTGTTGGACAAGAGGGGGAGCTAAATGCAGGAGTTGGTTTTCACAAGGGTTTGAGCTCCTTCCTGTGGGAAGTACTGAAACTAATGATGATAAAATGAAGTAGGTTATTTATTGTCCAAATGTGTTTCCTAGGGGTGCTGAAATAGTGTAACCAAGTGTCTGATTGGACTTGGTGTGTTGTGTTTTTCTGTTTCAATGTATGTTAGGTACGTGGAAGAATTGCTGATTCTGACTGGGCTACATGAACAGAAGTAGTGCTGGTGTTGTCACCTCTTACTTAGTTGCCCTGTATGTGACAAATGATCATGTAGAATGGAGGTCTTGTGCAAAGACAAAACAGTTGATTCTTACCTTTTATCTGGCATTGTCATTACTGTCAGGTGGTGATAAGGTCAGTGCCTGTGTCTCATTTGCTGGGACAAGGGTTTATGTGTTTGTGTGGTAAACTAGATCTGGAAATTGCTTTGGATGAAATTATAGTTTTATCCCCTACAAATTATGTCTTAACTGAATCCTGGTATAAGCATTTCCACCACATTGCAGTGCTATTTGTTTTAAAACTTGGTACCAGTTTATGTAATGTTAGTAGTGCTGCCACTGGGTATTGAATCCCTGTTTGTACCGCAGCTACTCTCTTGCTGGCAGTGGTGGAAGGCTGATGTCCTCCCTCATGGAAAAGACTTAAAAGGAAAAATCTGTTTGTGGTAACGAGGCACAGAGGTGTGAGACAGACAGCCATAATTACAGTGAAGCAGTCTGAGCTCAAACACTTGAAATAAGTGAAATAGTAATTGAAGGGTGGCTGAAATAGTTATTCTTACCTTTTGAATTGGTTGATAAGCAAAAAAAGCATTTTGAGTTGTTTTATTTAGTTGTGGTGGTTTTTTTTTTTTTTTTTTTTTAAGTTAGACTGCTGATCATCCAAGTTCTGCAAGGGAAAAAAACCCCAACAATCAACCAACCAACAAACTGGCATAGTCTAGGAATAATTATTTCAGGATATTGCGGGAAATTTTTACTAATACTGGTGCAGGCTAACATGCAAAGGTGAATTTAGAGAGACTGCTATTGGGGATCAGTACCTAGGCTTTTCTCACAGATGGTAGTAGTTAAATAGCAGTCTTTGTGAGTGTTTTGGTCTGCCTTGTCAAGGGTGGGTTATCCTGGATTTTGAGATGGGGAAACTGAGGCATGAGTGTTGAGGCAAATGACTAGGTAGTTTAAGCACAGCCCTTATTCTCTTAGCATACACTCTGTCCTGTTCCTTGTCAAGTATTCCTTGAGCCATGTCCAAGTCTTTTTTGTTTGTTGGATTCAAAAATGCTGCTTTGTGTTGCTTAGACATCTGTAATAGTCTTTTGAAGCAGCTTCCTGAAGACTTAGCTGTTGCTTTGTTCCTGAAGCCAAGTGTTGAACAGAGAAAATGTAACTGTTAGGTGTTTTAAAGTGGAATGTACTCACTGGTATTATAATGCCCGACCTCAGCCAAAGATAGTCGAGGGGGAAAAAAGGAAAAAAAATGCTAAACATTTGGGTGTGTTATGTTTGTAGTCCTGAAACATAAAAGTCAGTCTGTGTTGCAAAAACCTTCTGTAGAGCCAGTGCTGTTTACACTTAACAAGTAAAAGAAAGCAAACTGTCCTAAATGTGTGAAGCTGCCCTGTTAGTGGGGGTATATATTGCTGCACTGGGTTTCTGTGGCAAGGTTTTGATAGTGTGGTGGCTGCAGGGGTGGCTTCTGTGAGAAGCTGCCAGAAGCTTTCCTGCTGTCCAACAGAGCCAAAGTCAGCTGGCTCCAAGACGGAGCTAACACTGGACAAGGCCGAGTCTATCAGTGATGGTGGTAGTGACTCTGGGATAACATGGCTACGAAGGGGAAAAGGTACTGCACAAGAGCAGATTGCAGCCAGAGAGTGAGAATATGTGAGAGCAAGAGTGCTGCAGACTCCTGGGTCACTGAGGAAGGAAGGGGAGGAGCTGCTCCAGGCACAAGCACTGAGGCTCCCCTGCAGCCCGTGGTGAGGCAGCTGTGCCCCTTCAGCCTATGGGGGTGCACAGGGTTGCAGAAATCCCCCTGCAGCCCATGGAGGACCCCACGCTGGAGCAGGTGGATGCTTGAAGAGGCTGTGACCTTGTGGGAAACCTTCAGTGGAGCAGGCTCCTGGCAGTACCTATGGACTCATGAGGAGAGGAGCCAATGCTGAAGGTTTTCTGGCAGCACTTGTGACCATTCTTGAGCAGTCTGCTTCTGGAGGACTACACCCTGTGGAAGGGACCCGTGTTAGAGCAGTTTGTGAAGAACTGCAGTCCATGGGAAGGACTCATGATAGAGAAGGACTGTCTCTCATGGGAGAGACCCCATGCTGAAACAGGGAAAGTGTGTGAGTCCTTCCTTGAAGGAGTGGCAGAGACAATGTGTGATGAACGGATCACAACCTCCATTCCCCATCTCCCTGCACTGTTTGGAGGGAGAGGAAATCAGGAATAAAATCAAGCCTGAGAAGAAGAGGGGGATGGAGGAAAGGTGTTTTAAAATTTGGTTTTCTTTTTCATTGTCCTACACTGATGTGATTGGCAATAAAGTAATTTGCCCAAATAGGCTCTTTTGCCCGTGATGGTAATTGGTGAGTGATTTCTACCTGTCTTTGTCTTAACCCATGAGCCTTTCATTGTATTTTCTCTCTGAAGGGAGTGATAGTGCCTCTTTGGTGGGCATCTGACATCCAGCCATACGGCCACCATAATCGCTCTGCCCATGGAAGTGGAGAAGTATTTTTCCTTTGCTGCTTCAGAAGAGCCAAGCAATTATTTTTTTAAAACCTGAACATGTTTGACTCTTGCAAGCAAAGATTCTCCAGAATCCATCAGACTCACAGGTTAAGCCCACTGATGTGTTTTCACTCAAAATTAGTAAATGTTGTTATTACTGCTTTTTAAACTGTGGTGCACTTCTGCACTGGTATGAAGGTTGGTTTGAGGAATATTAGTAATGAGAACTGAGTAATTATCTCTGTTTCTTAATGGTTGAGAGACATTATTTTAAATCCTTATGTAGTTTATGGAACTGTGCTGTGGAAAGGCTTAGGAAGAAAGTCTACAGAAAACAAAACCTGAACCTTGGGTCCAGCCCCCTGGAACTGCGATCAGAAGTACTAAGAGTGCAGCTTTGATAATGAAGTGAGTGGTTCTTAGAAGAAGAAGCTTATGTAGTGGTTTTTTTCACTGCTTGCCTTAATCTCCTCTGGTTAGTTCAAAATGCTGAAGTGATAAATATGAGATACATGTCCCACATCTCAGGAATGGTTGGTGCCTAGTGAAGAAAATGGGAGTATGGTAGGAAGAGATGGCCATGACAAAAATGAGGTGGACTGCTATGGAAGTGGCTTTGTCATGGCTTTATAGTCCCAGGAGGCCTGGACTGTTAGAAACATCTGTATGTGCTGCCTTCTCTCCGGACATATGCTGGAAACTGCCGTGCTTTCTCCAGGCATGGGAATTTCTCTCCAATTTTAGGGTGTAAAGCCTCAAACATGGTGGTTGCCCTTGTAAACAGGAGAATGCCAGGAGAAGGATTTTCATTTTATTCATGCCCAGGATTGTCTATCCTCAGATTTCCAGTGCAGCCTTCAGCTTCATGGCAGTGCTTTCTGACTGCACTGAATACCTTGAAATACTTTAGCCCTTGGGCCTCTCATTTCACATCCCAGCTTCAAGAAAATGAGAACAGATTGCCTTCCTGATTAGGTGAAATAATCTCTTCATCCTGCCTCCACAGGAACCAGGTTACAATGGCAAAAGAAGGTCAGCGTATTTGTGGAAAAACCTGACTTCAAAGATACAAAGAGACAAGATTTATGTGATTGCAGCATTTTTGTTGCTGCTGTTCCCTGTGTGAATTTGAAATCTAGTTCAAGCCACATTTGATAGAGAGGTGTGTGTTTCACAGATGCCGATTACCTCCAATTAAACGAAGATTAGAGCTCAGATGAGACATTTAAATTGAGTCTCCCAGCCTGGGCAAGCCCACATAGCAAGCTGGGAAGATACCTGTTCTTCTTGTTGCTGTTGGACCAGTTAGTGCTGGCATCCTTGCCAAGCTGTGAGCAGGGGCACAGATCAAACACCCTGGCAGCTGCTGGCAGTGGTCCCACTCTTGTCAGCAATGGGATGAGAGATGAGTGGGCTACAAGGGAGCAGGTTGGCAGGAACAATGGGGCAAGAGCTGTCACCAGACTAAGCTCATGGAGGGGGTGTGGAGGTGAGACTGCTTGATCTACCAGGGAGCGGGAATGGATGACCCAATAAACATGCTAAGAAATGGGCTGAAAAATGTTAAAAATAGCATTCTTACAATGGTAATTTTAAAAATTTAT